GTCCATTAGGGAAGTGTCTGATGGCCTCAGGACACAGATATCTGGCCTTTATATGCATTATTTTGTCAACCTCTGTCTCTCTCTTCTATCTTTATCCAGTGAAATATAAAACGTCATGTTTTCAATACCTTTATTTTTTGATTGTTTTGGGGTGGGGTTGTCTCTAAAAGGATTTCCTTATAAGTTATCAAAATAATCTTGAGGCAGTATTTTCAATGTTTGTGTCACTTAACCAATTTAACATTTTTAAAAAGATACGTTGGAAATATGGGCCAACATCAGTTTTTTATGGAAAGAAATCTTACACAAAAGTTCAGGAGTCTTACAGCACACACCTGATTTTGGAAAAATGAATAAGATACATAGAGGCCACAGCAGAATTTGTTAGATCTATTAAGAATACCAGACCAATTTTGGTCTCCGTAATGATGTGTAAAATTAGAGAAACTCAAATGACTTAAGTGGAGTTACCCCAGTTTTACAGCAGTGTAATAGAGAAATGAATTGTTCCCCTAGTCTCTGTTGATAACCTTAATATGATCTGTTGTCTGCTATTTTATTAGTGAGAAGAGAAATATACTTAAATATCATTATCTTATTGTGATAAAGACCTAACTCTGGCCTGTAAAATACATTCATGATTTTTCTTCACTGTTTATGCCTTACACATAAAATAATAATCAAAAACCCTGCTAGTTGAGCTGGTTCTGAAGTATAAGGAAAAATAAATTAATAAATATTTCCTAAATCATTCTTTCAGATATGCTGCCAAAGATCCATTAAAGAGTTCTGATGTACATCTACTCAGAGAAAAGAATGAACAGTACATCAGACATGGAGAAAACTGGGAAAATCCTCACTGCTCTGCACTCAATTATAAAACTCCCACTGATTTCAATGGGGCAAGAATTTCACCCAACATGGGGAAACAAAAGGCTTTTTTACAGCTTTTTTTTTCTATTAGATTTTCTTAAGCAACACCTATCAGCTTCAATGAGAGCTGAGTGTACTCTGAAATTTGGGCCAGTTATTTAGGTGTCTAAACATGGGTCTAAATTTTGGTACCCAAGTTCGATTTTTTTCACCACTGTACCTAAGTAAGAGTGCCCTTGATTACAATGAAATTAACAGTAAAGCTCCCATTGATTTCAGTGACAATAGGGTCAGGCTATGTATCTGTTATCATAGTACTGCTAAATAGCACAATATTAGCACAAATGATGCCAACTGACAAAGCATCCCTCCATACTATAGAGACAGCAAACTGAGGAAATGCCAATCCCACCCTCCAAAAATATCAGTGGGAAACTTAGATGTGTCACTTATTTTTACAGTTATGCCTTCAAAAGTAAACCAAGTGAACCCATCCGATCCAGGACTATTTCTTCCCAACAGCAACATGATTACGTCACTTCTTTTTACCTGGGCTATATGGGCATTAAAAGCTTCTTTGTAGCTGGATGGCACGTGAGAGCATTTAATGTTTCTTAGATACCGTTCTGTTGTTTCTTCCATCTGCAGTAAGGAACCCCACTCATGGCGGGAGTATCTTCACAACATTGCCTTTACCATGACAAACAGTGGTCTTTTCTTTCCATTTCAGTTTACAGACACATACCTATATGGGGGCATGCTTAGAGCTCATCCACATCTGCAAACAGTTCTATTTTCCATATTCCCAACTCCCCTAGATAGCAAACATACATTTATTTTGGGGTTTACTCCCAGGTTTTCTATGTGTTGGATGATATATCTTTTTTAAAACAAATTTACGTAAATACAGTAAACACATAGGCCCATATCCACAAAGATGTTTAGGGCTTGTGATGCTCAGACTCACAGTGCCTAACTTTTAGATGCCTAGAAAATCACTGTGATAACACAATGCTCCACAAAACCTGAGTTAGGAGCCTGGGCTCCCTATACAATGAATGGGTAGAGATAGGCGCCTTAGAATGGGATCCACAAAAGCCAGCACATTATGTGGGGAGCCACCGAAACTAGCCAATGGAAGATGCTGAGAAGAGGGGTGTTTACTAAAAGAAAGCATTGATCACAACTATTATGATAGTGGTCTTTTTCTTTCCTTTCCAGTTTCTAGACACATACATGTATGGAGACATGGTTAGAGATAAGTCTCTCTTGTGGATTTTGGCACTTAAATCTGGGCTGGAAGGAAGCATATATCTCCACTAGCCATTCACAAACTGAGGGAAAATAGGCAATCCTCCATCTAACTGGTGTGCAGGGTCCAGTCCTGCACGGAGGACACAGGTATACTCAGGAGTTATTAGGGATTCTCAGGGTGCACCACGGTGGCTCAGCAAGAGGAAAGACCATGATGCACCATGGTAGGTGTAGTCTAGCCAGGGAGTCTGGCTTATAGGGCAGATTGGGCACATGTGCCAACTGAACTTCAATTTCCGTAAGGCATGGTAGCAGCATTTCAAATCAAAATGTTTCGTTTTCAGCTGAAAGCATTTGGCCAAAAAAAATTTGATTTAGTTTTTTCACCTAAAAGTTGTTTGTTGTTTTAAGACAAAAAACTGCCAACCAGTTCTACTAGGGCATCATAAAACCATGCAAGCTGAACCTGCTTAGAAGACTCACAGTAAACCAAAACAGCCCAGTATGACATAGCTCCATTCAGCGCCTATTACTTGGTTTAGGCCCCTTCCTTCCCTTCTTCTCACCAATCCTGGCTATCTTGAGTCCAATATTGTATAGATCTTTTAAGGATTCCAGTGTGTGGCCTGGCTGATAGAGCACAGAATTCTCTGCTGGGTATACAAACCTCTGGAGGGCCAGTGATACAGGCCAAAACACTTTTGAATTAAAAGCAGTCTGCTGTGGAAGCCAAAAAAAAAAAAAAAAAGTAAGTCCAAAGAGATTTGTAGAAGTGAATCAGGGAACTGAGTTGACAATAGGGAGTTCATGCAATTGAATTCCTCATCTCCATGCCCTTTAACTCTGATTTCTCAAGTTTTGCCAACCCCGCTCAGAGGATATACTGCAGCTCTGTATGCCCCACTGTAGGTCTGAGGGTCTTGAGGAACTGAGTTCGGACTCTTCGTAACTCCCTGTAGGAGGCATTTAATTCAGGAGATATTTAACTATAGAATTCAAATACACGCCTGGAGAAAATCATGATTTTTCTCCTCCTCACCTGATCAGGGAACAGATCTCAGTACGTTTTTTACTCTATGCTTCCTATTTAAGGTACACAATCGACATTGTGAAAAAGAAACTGATCACCGGGAAAACCCTTATCTTACCTATTTTTAAAAATTCCGTTCCAAATCAAAGGTTGTAAGTTTTAAGATAAAAAAGTAGTATTTGAAGTCTTGAAAGTTACCCACTGGCCACTTTTAGATCTCATCTGTAATCCCCTGATGTCCTTTCTGAAGTAAGCTCAGTAATTTAATTTTAAAAAATTAAGAAGAAGGTTGGTGGTTTGTTCTTGATTGTACAATAAACATTATAAAGTATTCTTTGGCTGGTATTCTTGCCCATTCCAGGGCAAGATTATTCTCCGTGGTCTGGAGGAGGTTGAATAGGGTCTGTGCTAAGGCTGGAGGCCAAGAAGGAATTCCTTTGTGGGACTTTGTGGTGTGCATATCAGAATGGTAGTGCTTGTGACACCTTGTGGCTGGGTAGAAGGTAACTATGCTCTCACATAGCCAGACCTGAGTAGTTCTTAATGAGCACAAACCTTAAAAATGGATGCCATTTCCCCCATCTTGTGGAAGTTATTGCAGGGTTTGCAGGGTGGGTCCCATATGACCTCAAGCCAGCCTTGCTTACACTCACCATTTTAAACTCTCTAATTTTCTCCTTGGGCAAATTTTCCCTATTGCCAAGTGATCTCTGTCCTGTCCTCCCTTTTATCCTCCCCCTTTTTTGTTCCTCCCACCACCCTTAAATCAGTCCTTCAGAAGCCTGCTTAGTTACATACAAATCTGAATGGAGAACTTGGACCTTTCTTGTATACATAATTTTCAAATCCCCAGATATGGTCTGCAGTGGGAATAAACTGTGCTTACTAAAATTTAAAAAGTGCTTAAAATAGCCACTCTTCATATTGCAGAGTTTAAGGGCTTGATTTTTAAAGGTATTGAGCACCTGCAGCTGGTATTGACTTTGATAGGAGTTGTGTGTGCTCCTCCCCTCTGCAAATCAGACCATAAATGTTTCATTTTAAATATATACAATCTCTGGAGCTGGTCAAGTGGCTAACTCGGTGCCTGATCCATTTGGAGGTATTCATGACTCCAGTACATCTGGTTCATAATATGCTCAAATTGCAGCTGAAGCTGTTAATTCATACAGTTTAGGGAGTATTTACTCTGTTTAACTAGATGCATTGCAAATGATCTTCCTTTTCATCTCGAACGTTGTTCATCCTCTGAGCACCTGCACTGGGTTTTCCCGTAGAAATCCTGCACTTATTTCTCTCCCTCTCCTTCTATCGCAACCAGGTGGGCAAATGATTTGTTTATTCAAATTTCAGAGGGTTTTTTATTTAGTTTTTGTTTGTTATTTTTTTAAATCACAGTTCTATAGGGAATATGTAGCTAATTTAAAATACTTCACAAAATTGCACTGTAAGATGCTCATAAAAGAATGACACTACAACTTACATCAAACAAGCAAACATTTGTTATGGGGACAGTAAAATTTACTTTTCACAAAAGGAGCCTACAGTAATAATGCATTCAATTCTATTTCCCAGAATGCTTCTTAAGTATGTTAATAAAGTCTTTATTGTGTCTGCTTATAAAAGTTGCCACCATTTCCCATTAGAAAGTCTCTGTTTATTCATCAAACATTTACTGACAGTGACTGCTGGGAACAGGCTCAGATTTCCACTCCATTACACGTTTGTGGCATAAAACACATTAATTATAGATATATTACAATATTCAACTCATTGAGGAAAAATTAGATGATCAAGGCTCATTTTCCTTGACAATAAGCAAGTTAATGAAAATACTAATTACCTGATGATGAAGTGGAGCCTTCAGGATTGAATGCTTAGCATCTGTAGAAGAGCTCCGTGAATCTAGCACAGAATATTAAAGCCAGAAGCACTGGAAGTCTAAAGAGTGGTTCACGAGGTCATCAAGTGCCCTTTAATCACAGGACAGAGAGTTGTTAGTTTATGATATAAACTTTTGTATGCAGCTTTGATGGAAGTCATGAAAAGTCACACAAGCATAATATTCATTTAAAGCTAATTCTCACCATGAACTGATCTCCTCCATTTATTCTCTGAATTAGTAAAGTTACCCTACTGGCTCAGTAATCCTACCCTATGGCTCAGGATTAAAAGAAAACTATATCATCTAAGGGGTACTAACTTCAGAACAAGAAATATGTGGCTCTTAGGAACATACTAAGATAAAGCATGTTCAGAAGAATTACTGTATCTGTTCTGAGTTCAGTTAAGTCATCAAAACTCATAACATATGAAGTTAAGCTATAATCTTCTTCAGAGGGAATTTTTTAAATTGCAACTGCCTCTGCACTTGTATATTTCTTATTGCCAGTTCTACTTAATGCTGTAAATCAGAACAACTAAACTGCTGATCCCATCTTTTGGTTTCTGGCCAAGATCAATTTTTACTTCCCATCTGTTTTTGACATTCTACCAATAGCTCTATTTAGCTGTTCTTTCTTTTCTGGACATTATGTATTGAAAAGTATTCTGAAACACTGTGCATGTTGGTGATAAAAGCAAAGCTTTGATTTATGTTTATTCAGTTTAGCTCTTCCCCCCCACACTCCATATGTCTGCCATTAACTTTTTAGCATACGGGGGTGAACATAATTTTAAATATGCTAATATTTTACCTCACAGTTTAGTACTCTTCCACACTGTTAAATGGTAAACAATAACCTACTAATCACACAATATTTTTGTCATATATGATTCAACAAACCTGCTACTTAGATTTTCTGTGATCATAAATGCTGCTGCATCTAATGAAAACCGTATGCTTTTTCTCTACCTGGTTCATTCATTTCTAGACATCTGAGTTCAAATTGCATTATAGGTCAGAATTGAAAATGTATTTGATGTGATTTGTTGGGTTAACACCCATTTGTTAAAATCCTGTTTCCAGTTTATGAATTTAGAAAGCTACTGGGTAGTTGGCAGCCTCATTCCCAGGTACATAATAGTAGGGAATATGTAGAACAGGATTAATCACGTAGGCAAATCTATCTGTATTGTGACGGCTAGAGCGTTACAAAATATTTGATTTGAAAGTGAACAGCACTCCAAATCAGACCTTTTTTCATTTAAGTTGCAGTGTTTTATTAAAAGCTATTTTTGTTGTATCTCCAAAACTTTTATAAAAATTGTACAGAAATGGCCTGGTTTCCCTATCCAGCACCTCTGATAACAAGCTACAGATGTTTGCACCATCTAGATGGCAGCCAGGATTTTGACAGAGTTGACCACAGAGCATTTCACATGTCGAGTTTTGAGCTTGGATTAGTCACATGACATAGTCTCTCTCACTGTCACTGAATGGCCAAGCCAACCTCATGTGCTGAGGAAGGTCAGAGAAGACATTTTGAATACAGAGGGAGAGGCTACTTTATTGTGCTAACTCCCCTCTTTCCCCCCTACCCCGCCATTCTTGTGTCTGTTAGACTACTAATACACCAGCTTTATGTTCTTATCGTTCAACCAGTTTGCAGGAGAGTGTTGTTGTTCATTGTTAGTTACTTCTCACACTGAAATCTGGCAGGAGTTTTAGCACAGGGTCTACATTTACTTAGGATAGTAGTCCTATTTTCTAGACTTCTCCAAGCTACTGATTTGTTTTTACAGTCTGTGTGTCTGAGCCGCATGTTACTAGATTTTGTTTCCCAGTGGATTCCCAGCCTCTCCTTTTAGAAAGATCAGAGTTTTTGTTCTACTAGCATCACACACTGGGAACTTATATCGCCGTAGCTACGTCTCTCAAGGAAGTGAAAAATCCATACCACTGAGAGACGTAAGTATGTCAGCCTAACTCCTGGTGTACACCATGCCAGATTGCCAGCAGAATTCTTCTGTTGACCTAGCTACCACCTCTCGGGGAGGTGGATTACCTGTGCTGAGGGGAGAACCCCACCGTTGACATAGGTAGTGTCTACATTGAAGCCCTAGAGGGGCTCAGCTCCAGCTATGCTGCTGTACCGTTTTCAGTGTAGCTATACCCCTAGTGTCCGTGTCTGTGTATTCCTGGCCTGGCAGAGAGAGGCCTAGGATACTATACTCCTCTAGGCCAGAACCAGTAGTGCCAATTTCTGGAATTCTCTGAGGTATTACTACTAAAGCTAGGAAATGATCAACTTTTAGTTTCTGAGATTTCTGAAATTCACATTAATAGGCTTTTAGTGCTAGCTCCCCAGGTAGGCCTGAGTTTTGCTTGGAGTGCCAAAAGAGGGACATGCCATTCTTCTGCCATTCTTCCCTGGTCCTGTGAGCAGCTGAAAACCAGGTACAACAGCTTCAGATACCAGGCTAGGATCGCTGAAACACAGAATGCTCCAGCCATACTCTCGCCTCCTATGGCTGGCTTGCCCTTGTAACACCCCTATGTCAGAGGGCCAGGAGCTGATGGCAAAGAGCTGGCTACGCTTGCTGACACCACTCAGGGATTCTCCTAAAGAAGGAATGCTTAGAGGGCCACTGCACTAGCCAGGATCGCTGGAGCAGATCCTGCCCTGCCGTGCCCTTTTCTTGTCTTCATGCCCCTCATGCCATATAGCCAGAAGCATTTTTAAGTCCTTTGTGCCAATGGACTAGTGCAAAGGTGAATTACAAGGGACAAAGGATCTGGGGCCATCTTTTTATAGTGGCCTGCACTTACCTATGCTACTGGCATTTTATATTCTTTCACATTGAATTTATTTTTTCCAGTGTTCGAAATTCTAAATAAATATCACTGTATCATTATTCATTCTTATTTATCTTACTGCTTTACAAAGGAACACAGTTCCCTGACAAAGATGAAATATTGGGAAAAGGGGACTGTGCCCAGGCTATATAAATGTGGAATATCAGTCTGTAATATAGGAGATGCAGGCATTAATATATAAACACTAGTGCTTTGATGCAAAAGCAGACCAGAACTATGACCACAATCAGGGAGCTGTAAAATAGTATGGCAATAATATTGTGATGCTTATATAGAATCTTGGATTCAAACAGACCCTCCCTTAATGAGCAAAAGTGGATTTACATAGAAAACACGAACATTTCACCATTATCTCATCTCTTTGTCTCTTTCAAGGAAAAAATAATTTCCATGATATGAAATTGTATAAAACATTATCACATGACATTTTGCATAACAATTTTCACCAAGTTTATAAAGTTCTAGAAAACTTGTCATATTTTACCCTGGTTCAGCAGACAGAGTTCTCATTTACATCAACAAGAGTTCTATGTAATTCCTTATCATTGGGTCTATGTGATATTTCTCCTTAAGTTGCATGAACATACAGTTTAGTCACAATTTAAAAGGAACAGTGGGAATGACTGGTAGAGTGGTAAACAAAGACCTATTTTTGAGTGTATGTTAAACACAGTAGCATAAATTTTGGAAACAATTTATCACAGAGATGCCATAGTGTAGCATGACACTTGATTACATTTCTGACAAATAAATAAGCAACAAAGGCAGCCTCAAGCAATGACACAAAGAGGAAACTGAAAGCCACACATTACCAGTATGGAATGCCCTTTTTGACAGCTGCTGTCCAAACTCTCTTGAACTCTGGATAAACTGTGATTAGAGATGGGCCTGAGCCAAAACTCTGAATTCAAACACCCCAAATCTTTGGGGTTTTCAAACTCTGGAATTAACATCTGCAGCCTATCCCCATCCCTGTTAGGGATATTTCTGTCTGTTAAGGAAATAAAATCACATATTGGCAACTGGAAATTATTATTATTATTTATTATTATTTCAGTGTATAAAAGCATACAAATCGAAGGCTCCTATCTAGCTTTCTAAGCACTGAGGGGCCAGATTTTCAAAGGTATTTAGGTGCCTAATGATGTAGATAGGCATCCAATGGGATATTCAAAAGGGCCTAAGCACGTGCCCAATTCCCACTGAAATCAATAGGAGTTAGGTACCTAACTTGCTTAGATGCTTTTGATAATCCTACTAGGTTCCTATCTGCAGCTTTAGACCCTCACTACCTTGTAAAATCTGCTTTCCCTTGGGGTAAATTACAACAAACAAATCAGCTGACCCAGCAGCTAAATCTACCCACATCCTCCAAGAGAAACTGACCCACAACAGAAATCCTGCAAATTGTTCTCTTCCCAGCCAAACCTCAGCCCCTTTTACAAGCCATTCTGTTCCCAAAAGCCTGAGAAAAAAGATATGTTTTATTGAGTGTCATGAAGGTCAACAGACCTGGGCTATTTTGGACCAAGAATGGGAACAGGTCCCAAAGATGAAAGCACTCTTTCTTTGAAATCAAAAGGACGCCAGGTGAGGAAGATCTATTCTCCACTGAGTGAAATTATCACAATTGTGGGTCTCTGCATTTTCATATTTTGTAAAGGGCCTGATTCTTTTGAAGGCATTTGTTTAACTTTGCTTTTATTTTGTAGTTATTGGACCAGATTCTTTTCTCAGTCACACTGGGGTAAATCAGGAGTAGCTCCAAAGAAGACAATGGAATTACACCGGCACAAAACTATGTAAGGCAGTGTAGAATTAGATCCATTGTCCGTTAGTATCGGCAACATTTAGCTCAGGAATGACATTGTCAGCTGTAGTCCGAATATTGTCATATACTCTGTCAATCATTTAAAGCTCAACTTTTTGACACCACTTTATATAGCCCCTAAGAAGTTCATCTTGTGCATAATATGACTCACCGAAAGAGAAAATACTAATCATATCAAATACTAGTAGCATGAATCCATGCTCAGCAAAGGATGGTGTGGTGATGTGGAGTTCACTTCCTCTAGAGAGCTATCCCCACAAGGTTTGGTTCAAATCAGAATTTCAGAAGTAAAAAAGATATATGACCCATCCCCAACCCTCCTCCCCAACACACACAGACACAAGAAAGCAGGCGCCCAGCTTCCAGATTTTTAAAAGATGAAC